CTTTAGCACCTGCCTCAGCCTCAGTGCCTTTCCCAGAACTACTACCTTCACCGTGACGTTTCCCTAACTCTAACGCGGGCTTCTTCAGCATTTTGACTTTCTAACAAAGACATCTTGGAGCAGACAAATAGATGGGCAAGCCTTTTCTAATGCTACCTGGAATCAACTTATTGACCACTTCTTTCAAATCATCTGTGAACCTCTCGGGTCATGATTTCCATCATCATCTTCTGGATTTGGTGGACCTGTTGATGCTGAGCATAAGAGGTCTTCCAAATCTAATTGTTGTGTCTTTTAGTAAAAACAACACAGAATAGATGAAGCAAATAACCACCGGTCGTCTGGCATCAACACGAGCTTCAGTCATGGTCTGCCATTTTCTGACCGTGGAGCACATTTTGTCTCCATGGTGAGATCCATGCCATGGAAATTAGGCAGGTCTGCCCTGAACATCCTCAGTAATTAGCTTGAATTTTCTAAATGCAACTTCATTACCCTGCAGATCAGCTACACTCACTTCAAAAACATGGCCTTTGAATGCAATTTTGGTTTCCTGTGTTCTCATGACTAGTGTTTTTTCCAGTATTTATATATATATATATATATATATATATATATATATATATATATATATATATATATATATAAAGTATATATATATAAAGTATATATATATATACACACACACACGCACACACAGTATATATATATATATATATATATATATATAATTTTATTGATTTTTTTACAGAGAGGAAGGGAGAGGGATAGAGAGCTAGAAACATTGATGAGAGAAACATTGATCAGCTGCCTCTTGCACACCACCCACTGGGGATATGCCCGCAACCAAAGTACATGCCCTTGACTGGAATCGAACCCGGGACCCTTCAGTCCGCAGGCTGATGCTCTATCCACTGAGCCAAACCGGCTAGGGCTCCAGTATTTCTTATGTGCAACAGAGCTGGTGCTTTCACATCACACCAATCTTTCTTAGAAAATGGCTCAACCCCTTTCTAGTTGGCTCCCTTTCTGCCACCTTTTCTAAGGCACCTGTTCTTGCAGACCACCATGGTGTTGCTCAGAGAGCCAAAAGGGCTCTCCCAATCTCCATCCAGCTCAAGGATGTGATGCTGAATTTCTCCCACCCTGTCTAAGTCCTCTTCTCTCGCATTAAAACACTTGGCTCTTATACCTACGATATCTACAAACTCAATGCTGTTTCTTTATTTCTTCTTCTCGCCCCAGCTCATCCTCAGGGGCTCAGTCTGCTCCGAAGATCTCCTTGAGCCTGACTCAGATCTCTCAGTCCAATTTAAGAGGCCACCCCCTAAGCTACCCCAGTTGCCCCAAATATCTATCTAACCTTAGGAGCCTTGCTGGCAGCATCCACCGTTTCTCACATATCTTCCCCTTCCAAAGTCGTTGGTCCTCATCTAAAACTCTGCTCTTAGGCTTTCTTTAGTTTCCTCTAACTCACTTCCAGGGAGCCATCCACGTGCACTATCTTTGCCTGGGTAAAAACAACCATCAAACCAAACACTGGCCCTTCCTCACCAGGCTGAGAGTTCCCAAGGGGAGGGAGGCCCTGCTTCCCATTCCTGTGCCTCACCTGCCACAGACTCTGCAATCTGCTCCACCTGACAGACTTCAATGACCAACCCTGGGGGTCCCATCTCCCCTGGGTTCCTTGAGATGGACTGGACTTGCCCCTTTTCAACCACCTGTGGAATCAATTATATTCAACACCATGTCCTGGCCACACAGCAAAGTACCTGACACTTCACAAACATCAACGAATACTTGTTGACTAAAGGAATACACATATGAACTATGAGCCTCCCTGCCCTGAACAGAATCTCATACACATTCCCCACCCCTTACCCTCCACCCCCCACCCCAATAGGACATCCTGTCTGATTAACCTTTTAGCCTAATATGGTTCTAGACCCCTGGATACATGCCAACTTAATCCCATTTGCTTTCTCTCTCTCTCTCTCTCTTTTTTTTTTTTAAATATATTTTATTGATTTTTTACAGAGAGGAAGGGAGAGGGACAGAGAGCTAGAAACATTGATGAGAGAGAAACATCGATCAGCTGCCTCCTGCACATTTCCCACTGGGGATATGCCCGCAACCCAGGTACATGCCCTTGACCGGAATCGAACCTGGGACCCTTCAGTCCGCAGGCCGACGCTCTATCCACTGAGCCAAACCGGTTTCGGCCCATTTGCTTTCAATGTAACAAACACAGTCCAGTCACTACCAATCTGTCCCAGCATAATGTCATATTCTTCACAGCATAATACCAATCTGTCTCAGCATAACCCAGCCTTCCCAATGATTCCAGTCTGTATTACCATAACCTAGTTTATGGACTAGTCAAACTCAATACTGCCAATTACCACTGGCCAAGAATTAATGTGTGCTATGCACCTGTACTAAGCATTTTACTCTATCTGCATTTCACAGATGAGATCAGGCACAAAATTTTTTAAATTGCCCAATTACACTGCTGACAAATAGAAGAACCTTGATTTAAATCCAAGGTAACTCCCCAGACAATAATACCATTTTCCCAATGGTCAACAGTCTTTCTAGATGGAGCCCAGGTGATTTGGCTCTCCTAGAACCCAGCCTATCCCAGTCTATTCAGTCTGCTTTCAAGAGCTGAGGTTGAGCCCTGGCTGGTTTTGCTCAGTGGACAGAGCGTCGGCCTGAAGACTGAAGAGTACTGGGTTCGATTCTGGTCAAGGACACATGCCCAGGTTGTGGGCTCAACCCCGGTAGGGGGGGTGCAGGAGGCAGCTGATCAATGATTCTCTCTCACCATTGGTGTTTCTATCTCTCCCTTTCCCTCTCCTTTCCTTTCTGATATCAATAAAAATATAAAAAGAAACAAAAAAAGAGCTGGAGATTGAGCCCTGGCCAGGTGGCTCCGTTGACTGGAGCGTTGTCTCACGCACCAAAAGGCTCCAGGTTTGATTCCTTCCGGGTCAGGGCACATAACTTGGGTTCCAGATTGGATCCCTGGTCAGGATACATAGGGAAGGCCACCGGTTGATGTTTCTCTTTCACATCAACATTTCTCTCTCTCTTCCCCTCTCTCTCAAATCGATAAATTTCTCCCACCCTGTCTAAGTCCTCTTCTCTCGCATTAAAACACTTCGCTCTTATACCTACGATATCTACAAACTCAATGCTGTTTCTTTATTTCTTCTTCTCGCCCCAGCTCATCCTCAGGGGCTCAGTGCTGCTCCGAAGATCTCCTTGAGCCTGACTCAGATCTCTTAGGGCCACCCCCTAAGTTACCCCAGTTTAAACATCAAGTGAAGATTAAAAGGAGAGAGAGAGCGCGCGCGCTGAGGTTGAGGTTCAGTACCCAAAATTATAAACACAAAAGAGCTCACTCTGCATTATTTAAAGTCCCAGCTTGGCCCAGAATGTCCCAAATTACCCCAGGACAGCCCAATATATTCTAGCACAGCCTAGAGTGTCCCCACACGCAGCTGTCTGCACCAACACATACTAGAATATCCCCATACAGCTGTCAGTATTGGCAGAGACACCAAGAGTACTGAGTGTCCCAATAAAAACCAGGCCCCAATACAAACCAACATCAACCAATACAATCCAACAGAGACCAGAACGGCTCAATCTACCCCCAGCCTTCAACGCCCCCATACAGCACCCTCTGCCTTAGTACAGACGAAGGTCCCAAAACAATCCCGGCGGCCCTGGCATAGGACGGAGTGTCTCAAGTTGCCCCAATAGAGCCCAATCTACATCAGATTTCATAGTGTCTGCGCTACAGAACTGCGCAGAATGAGAGGTAGAGCGATCTACCTCAGGACAGTCCCGAATACCCCGAATAAACCAGTGCGCCCCCCTCTGCTCCAGGAGAACCTAATCCCCGCTAATCTGGCTCCTGGTTTAGCATAGCCAGTCTTCCTCCTACAGCTCCGTGCGCCTGTCTGTCCATCCTGGGGCAGCCAATCCATCCCACCACAGCGGTCCGCTCCACACAGCCCAGGAAACGCCAGCATGGCCCGGACTAAGCCGTGCCCCGCAACACCGCCCATCAGCCCGGGCGCAGCCCCCTCGGCCCCAGGCTAGGCCTCGCGCTCACCCGAAATCCTGATCCATAGACTTGAAAAAGTACTTGGCGCCCGCGGGCCGCTGCAGGACGCTCTTGAAGTCGCCGAGGGTGATGCGCTCGGCGGGGACGGGGATCTTCACCAGATAGGGAGTCTCCTCCTCATCCAGGTGGTAAATCACCTTCGTCTCCCCGACGCCGCCGCCCCCCGCCCCGCCGCCCGCCATGGTCTCGCCCGCGCGCTCTCCGGCTCCACCGCCCACCCAACTGGGCTACTCCCCCGCCGCGCCTGCGCACACCCGCACACCGACGCGCGAGCGCGGGCCGGACCGCCCGGGTGCGAGAGGCCGAAGGGAGGAAGGCGGGGGTCCACGGGTGGCGGCCAAGGGGGACGGGCCGCGGGGCGCGACCCGAAGCCACGGACTCGCAGCCGCCGCGAACACCATCCAGCGCCCCGCCCACCTCTTCCCATATCACGTGGCCCAAACCGGCCCGCCCTCTCGCGACGCCCACACCACGTGACGGGCGCCACACCACGTGACTGCTTTCAGCAACGGTCTCCCTCGTGGCCCCGCCCCCCCAATGCCCCGTTCCCCACTCCCCTCCCCTGCCCTCCGGACACCCCGGCCAAGTGGGTCCCGGCCCTCAGGGGGCCGGCAACACACTCCCTCCCCGCAGGGGCTCCAAGCAACTGTGGTCCGACTGGGGATGCAGGCGCGGGGAGGGCGGGGTTCCGGGGGTTCCAGACTGGGGATGACACGGGGCAAAGCCAACTGAAGCCAGAGTTGTTGGGCAAGACACAGAGGGTCATGTTCAGCTCCGGCTTTAGAGGTGGGTTTCAGGACCGCCTCCAGCCATCTTCTCTGCCAGCTTTTCCAAAACCTCCCTCCCAAGGACAGTCAGTGAGGGCTGTAAACACAAAAGAGCCCACTCCGCTTTATTTACAACACGCAGGCACCCGCACCGATGCGGGCCAGTATTATTAAAAACAAGAGGTGACCCGGAGAATGATCACCTGTCTTCCTTCCTCCCTCAGCCAGGCTCTGGCACTCCACCTCTGAGCTGCCCTGCCCAAAAAGGGGAAGTCCAAAATTAAAAACAAAACCAGTGTAGAATAAATGGGGATGGAGAGAAAAGATGAGGGAGGGAAGTGCTGTATTTACACTAGCGTTTTATAGACAACTGTCCCATTCCATCCCATTTCCAACCCTGGCACATTGAGTGAGAGGTGGCAGGTCCAAGGGACAGAGATTAAGTGTCTAGGGACCCAGACAGCCTCCCACCCCCAACTGTAATGGCTCCCATTTCAAGTCCACAAGGTGGGAAGGAAGAACAGTAACAACTCATTTCCAAACAAGGCTCCCTCGGGACTTCCTGCCTTGAAGTGGGACAATATCCAAGCTCCGGGGGACGGGCTGAGGACCCCGAGGCTCAGTTCCCAAGTCCTGTTGTCATGTGGAAGTTCCAGCCTAGACAGTGATGTCAGGGCTCTCCAGATTTGGGAGGCCCCCCTAACCGCCGGGCCTCTGGCCGCAGTTCCTTGCACTTCTGGCAGTAAAAGAAGTCAGGGACATTCGTCTTCTTTATCTTAGCACATGAGAGGTGGATCCATGTCCCACAGAGGCTGCACTCAATCATGGGCCGCCCAGCAAAGGGCTTTCGGCAGTAACACGTGATCAGGTCCCACGAGTCATCACCTGGGGCAAAAAAGGTTGGTTTAGTATTGTGCCTGAGCTGCTGCACCCACAACAGCCCCATACCCATCATCCCAGCTGCCCCTGGGCAACTCCAAACTTCTCACCTGACTCTACCATGATGTCCTCATCCATGACCCGCATCTCCCCTTCACTGGAGCTGGCATCACCATCTTGGCTTGTTTCAGTGCTGCCCACCTCCTTGCTTTCACTGTCAGTGGGAGGGGCTCCTTCGGGGTGCGCTGGGGCAGGGAGCCTAGGAGCCTCAGGGGGTGTTGGCAGCACAGGGGCTGGGGTGTCACACCCTACCATTGCTGCCATCTCTTCCTCCTCCTCCTCTTCCTCTTCCTCCTCCTCCTCTTCAGAGTCTGTATCACTGGGAGGTGCCCGGGGAGGCCCAGGAGGTGGGAGTCTATCCCCCCGCTCTGCCTTTTTCAACTTCCGCTTCTTGCTCTTCTTGATTCGAGACCTCTTTTCCCCATCTGCAGGGGCTGGCCGAGGCCTCCGAAGCACCCCAAAGCCAGCCCCCCCTCCTGGCCCCAACTTTCTGTTCTTTCGGTCCTTCTTTCGAGGAGGCTGGGAGAGGTCCCCCTGGGAAAGGGGTACTGGGGTGAGAGCAGCAGAGGGCCGGGAGGCATGTGTGAGGGATGAGGGAGACAGCGGAGATGCCATTTTGGGCCCATCTAGATCAAAGAGAGAGTCCTTGAGCTTCATCTTCTCAAGCAGGGTGGCACTGTCAGGGGCCTGCAGACGAGAGAAGGTGGACCTTGGGGGTCCTGGCTGGGTGGGACCTGCCTGAGCAGCCCGTCTCTTGGATGACTTGGCCTTCTTAACGAAGGTCTGGATGGTCCGGAGATCGGAGGGAGCTGAGTCCCAGCCGTCGCTGTCGGCCGCACTCTCACCTCGCAGTGGAGAGCTGGAGCCCGAGGCCGGCCAGTCGCTTTCCTTCAAAGAGGACAAAACCCGGGTCAGCAGGGGGCCCAGTGTCGTCTCCCAGCTCCTCTACAACCCTAGCGAACACCCTGCCAAAAACAGCAAACCGCCACTGTGCTCAAAGATTGATCCCCACCCCAATTCCCATTAGCGTCTCCATGTTACTCCTGCCCTTACATTTTAGCCGTTTCTCCAATTCCCACCGCCGTTGCAACATTGTATCCCTCCGACAAGAATCTTATTGTCTAGCCTTCTGTGTAGCCTCATTGGTTATCAGGTACAGTTTCCAAAAGTTTATCCAAAACACCTTCCATTAACAGAACCCCAAGGCCGTTCACTGCTGCTCAAGCCAGCTTTCTCCATTCCTCCCACCCCCACCCCAGACCGTTTTCCTACTAGAATTTCTAATCGCCCTGGTCTCACATAGTTTCGGATGGGCTTCTTCTGTAAGTAGGTATAGCTCCAGTCGCTCACCAGACTCTACAGTCCTAGGCCACTACCCTCATGTCAGCTGACGGCCTGTTCCTACCTCTTTGCTGGGCGGGATGTAGCCGGCATAGGCCAAGACAAAACTGCAGAATTTGTTGAAATCCTCAATTGTTCTCCGACGTTTCTCGGGTGGCTGAAGGAAGGAAAGTTGTATCATACGGGGTTTAAGAGGGGCATTTCCAAAGGCATGTACCCAGGAATAAGGAAGCTGGAGTAGGGGGGGCGGGGGGGGGGGGAAGGAAGGGGAGAGGCGGGTCGGATAGCAATACTGGGCTGCAAGGTAAGGGGAACCTCACCTGAGTCTCTGGCTTCAGGGTCGGAGGTGGGTCTGTGAAAGCAATAAAAGCTGAGTCAAGGCACGAGGAGAGTCTGGGTGCAAGCCCACCTCTGAGCCCTGGAGACCCCAAGCGAACCCCCAGCTCCCACCCCCAGCTCGCCCGGGTCCCAGAGCCCGGCCAGCAAGCCCCTGCGGAGCCCGCCCCGCCCCGGCTCCCCCGCCCGCCCCGCGTGGGGCGGAGCCTGGGCGCGGCGCGGCGCCCTCCGGGGCCTCGGTACAGCGCTCCCCTCCCCTCCCCCCGCCGCCGGCCGCGCGCTCCGCCCCCCCACGGTCTCCCTAGACTTGTCTACTCCGATCGCTCGGCGCCCCACCCGCCGTACCGCTCCCGGGGCCGAGCCGGGCCGGGGCCCGCCCGATCCTTCACAGGCGCCCCGGGTCCGAGCTCCTGCCGGGCCGCGCTCTCCGCACCGTCCCTCCGAGACCGAGCACGCCGCCCGCCGGGCCCAGGAGGACCGCGCCGCCCGCCGGCCGCCCTCCGCGAGCACGAGGCCGGCGCGCCCCTCACCCCACACACAGGCTCGCTCCGCCAGCGCCGCTCCACGTCCGGGACAGACCGGCGCGCTCGCCCGGACGCGGCCCCACCTGCCCCCACATACCGCGCTCCCCACAATGTCGCGGTCCCTCCGCCCCCATCCGGGGCTTTGGCCCCTCCCCGCCGCGAGCAGCTCGGCTCCCCGCCGGGCCCCCGGGCCCAGTTCGGAGCTCTCTCCGGCCGCCGCCTCCCCCACCCCCGTACCCGCCACCCAGTCCCGAGGCGACGGACCCCTCCACTCTGGCCCCCGCCCTGCTCCTCTCTCCCGCGCAGCAGCCCCCGCTGCCCCTCGCCCTCCGCAACTCCGAGCCTTTAACCCTCGCCGCCCGAGTCCCCCACTCGCCGCACAACTCGCCGGCTCGATCCCGCACCCCGCCCCACGCCCCAAACTCCTCACCTCCGCGCTCCCGCGGGCTCTCCCGGCACAGGTCCCTCTGCCGCAGACAATGCCCGGGCTCCCCTTTCCCGCAACTCTCCCCGCCCTCCAACAAACACCGGCCACCTCCGGCGGCAACTGCCGGGCGCTCGGCGCCGCCGCCGCCAACTCCCCACCTCGGGGAGCCGGCTCCCCACTCGGTCCACCTTCTCTCAACTACTCTCCGGCCCAGACCCCCCCAGCCTCCCAGCTCCAGGGCTCCGACTGGCCGGAGGCCCTTTCGCCCCCTAACCCCAGGCTGATCTCCAGCTCCCACTCCCCCCTCCACCGCCTCACACAGCATCTGGTCTCCAACTACCCCCGGCACAGCCTCCCACTCCTCCTCCCCAAGGTCTCCCAACTCGTCGCCCTCCACCTCCAGGGGCAGCCCCCGAGCCCCTCCCCACCTCCCTCGCTGGACTCCGGGCTCGACCTCCAAGTTTGCCAATTGATTCCTTGCCCGCCCCCCTCCGGCTTAGTGCTCAGTGCCGGTCGAGAGCTCACCTTCGGGACTGGGCTCCGCCATGGCTTCCAGCATCGCCCCCTCCCCTCCTCCCGGTCCGGCGGCCCCCTCCCGAGCCGGGGATCCCGGTGCCGCCTCCGGTGCTCGGTGTTCCCGCTGCCTCGCTCCACAGAGGTGTCTGCCTGGCCCCGGTTGTGACTCCAGTCCGCTAGCCGCTGCCGCCACCTCCCTCTACCACTGCCTCCCGCACTCCCGGACCGAGCCCCCTCCCCCCGCGCCGCCGGCCGCCTGCTCCCTCCTCCTCCTCCTCCTCCTCCTCCTCCTCTCCACTCCCTCCTCCCCTCCCTTCGCGGGCGCCGAGGCGCAATGCATCAAGGGACTTGTAGTCCATCTGAGGGCAGCGGGAAGGGGACCGCATGAGCCTTGGGAACTTCAATTCCCAACAAGCTACTGTTTCGCGCCGGCGCACTAAACCGCTCCCCTCCCCCTGGGAGTGGCGGGGAGATTGGTAGCGGAGGGTAAAGCGGAAACGCGCGCGCAGGCTCCTGGGAAATGTAGGCTGGGCGGGACTAAATAAGAAGGGGAAAGAAGGGATTAGAACTCTCGGCCACCATACTGCCTCACTCTGCAGTTTCTTTCTCCCTTGGAGGACCGCCCCACTTCCGGCCAGAGAAGTGGTTGCTGGGAGATGAAGTCCTTCTGGTAATAATAGACCCTCCTCCTAGTCTTCTCTCCTTTTTGGATTCACTCCACTGGATCCCACATGCCCGCACAAAGTCTGGACAAGTGACAAAATCTCTTCCTTAATCCAAAAGGAACAAACTTGGATGTATTCATCTAAAGCAGATACTTTCAAACTCTCCCCACAGGAACCCAGTAAAAATGTTCCTCTTTTACATCAGGACCCAATACACAGGTATATACAACTGAATTTCAAGAAACAATACCCAGGATATCCCATCCATCACAACAAAAGCACCTTTTCATGCACAAGGAAAAGCCCAACATCAACAGAATAAACCAAAATATATTACTATCCCCCCAATCTCATCTTTTCCCACCAACCACTAAAAAACAATAGAAGGTAGCAACACAAAGCAAAATCCAGTTCAGCTTGATGGTTTCCTCTTTATTGATGTGCCTCTTACCTTCCCCCCACAATTTCATCCCCTTCCATCTACCCCACAAAAAGATAGTGAAAGGGAACCAGTATTGGGGTTCTGAGCTCCTTGGGCAGTTAGCAAAGGAACAGAAACCAAAACAATCACTGGATGTGACAGAGATCGACAATCAAGTCTAAAGCAGAGTGGGAAAGGTGGTAGAAAGAAGAAGGCAGGAGAAAGGAGAGGTACCAGAGGCCATCTCCCCCATGAACCCCCTGCTAAGAGGGTCTGGAGAAGAGCCTCAAACATTAGGAAGTACAGGTCCTGAAGGAAGAAGTCAAGGAAGGGGGGGCCATCTCTCTCTATGTAGAATGGGACCCTCCACTACAGGCGCAGCAGCTTCACAGGCCATAGACACTTTCGTCGCTGTAGGCAATGTATAGAAAGAAGTCTTCTTCATGGTGCTCCTGGGGTGAAAGCAGAAAATAATGGTGCTCAGGCATCTGGCCTTTAGTTACTTGAACCACCCAACACCCAAACACATTCTTCAAAAACCATTTTTTGAAGACCCTCAAAACCAGTGCCTTAATTCTCCCCCCCAACCCCCCCACCCCACTTGTTCCAGGACCTAGCAGCCTAACAGGAGGATTATCTCTAGCAGCAACCCTGGGCAAAAAAAACCCTCAAACTGTTCTCTGCTGCCTAGAATGAGGAGGGTGGGGGAGAGTCCATATCAGAACAGTTGCTCCAGCACACTGTTCTCTCCCTTCAGTCTACTCCCACTGTCCTGTACAAACCTCCAACCCAGGACTACTCAGCTAACCCAAGAACTGCTGACCTAAAACTTTCTTCCCCTCAAGCTCTTCCAACTCCTCTCCAAAACCACCACTACTTCCCAATCGCCATACCTGGTACAGCTGACCCATCGTGGCACTGGTGGGTGGAATGACATTGTTGACAAAGAAAAACAAGGCATCCTCAGCTCGGAGGTGAATTCGCTTCCGGATCAAGAAATAGAACTGCCCAACTGCCAAAAATATAAGATGTGATAAAGTCACAGGTATCACAAATGCCCTCAAAATAACAGCTGCTATGTGGAGCCTCCTCCCACAGGTAGCAAAACCCGGGTACTGTGGTAAGATTCCCACCTGTGAGATCAGAAGGCACCAGGTATTTCTTTTTGTCCAGGTCTCCTATCCGAGCTTTGGGAGCCTTTTCTACTATCACCTGGTAAAGGGAAGATGAAAATTATAAGACATTTGATATTATAGCCCCCAGCTCCACCTGTCAGCAACCCAAGCAACAATATTCCTAGCACCCAAACGCCCCAGACTCATTTCTTTGTCTCTGAACACGTGGTGCAGCCCTGAGTAGAGACCCGGGACCCCACTGACTCAACTCCCCTAACCACCCAGGTCCCTGAATGGAGGGCGTCATAATAAACAACTACCTGAACCCCACGGGACGACTTGTCTGGGCGGCTATGGGTTCAATCTCCAAAGCCTAGCTGGCTGGGGGAATGACCATGTGACATCCAGACTGTCAAACTCCCTACAGCCTCCGACCCAAATCCCAAGATCTATCTCCCCCATCCACACCCCTGAGCCCCCAGCTACCACCACTACCCCTCCTTTCACCTCCAGCCCCCGACAGCAATTTCAGGGTCGCTCCCAACCCCACCGCAGCCCACAGCCTGATGGCCGCGCTGCCCGTTCCGGACCCAAGCCCAGGCTGTGGCGTCAGTACCAGCGCCCCGCGCCCTCGGCCCTGGCTACCGTCCTCACCGGGACCCGGTCCGGGTATTTCTTTCTGATCTTCTCGCCCTCAGAGCGGCGCTTCTCGAACGGATGCTCCTCTTTATACACGAACTTCATCCTCCCGGGAACCGGGCTGGACCGGACTGGGCTGAGGGAACCCAGGGAGGGGGGGCCCGGGACGGGGGGCGGCGGCAGCGACGGTGGCGACGCGCAGGCGGATTCAGCGGAGCGATCCCAAGACTTGCGCTACTTCCCTATTCGCCAACCCCGCCCCCGCCCATCTGGGGCCGCCCTGCGGGCTACGCTACGCCGCCAGCGCAGCAGCTCTAACGCGGATCGCTTAGCACCGCCTGACCGCACCCCCACGCCGTCAGCGTAATCACTTTGGAATCAATTTGTGGGCTACACGGCGACGTAGCAAATTTGGGTGGTTGGTCTTCGCTACCATAAAAAATAACTGAAAACCCATTTCCCGACCTTCCCCACGAAGCTAGGAAAGAAAAGAAGCTAGGCGATCGTAACCATAGTTTGAGACTCGGCTCCCCCCCAAATTCTTTCCGGACATAACGTAGAGGAAAGCAGATGATTACAAGGACAGCTATTCACGAATAGTTGGTACGCAAAAGGCGGCCGTTGACACCAAAACAAAGTAGTACCCCAAGGGAGAAGATGGTCTTCCGAAATAGAGGGCAGAAACTAAGTATATGTTTGCAGACACGCACAGAACGCTTAGGTTTCGGGAGAGCGGACCAATAGGGACTGGAGCGCAGGCTCGAAAGGTGGGGACTAGGTCGGCGCGGAAGAACACTTTCAGCCTCGTAGCAACGAAATCATGTGATCCGAGGGAAGGGCGGAACGTCACGTGGCGAAGGCGAGAAGTAGAGCCGGCTCGCGGGAGGAGGGCAGAGGGAGACAGGGCCCGAAACTGCCGGAGTGGGAGACGGAGGCCGGTGCGGGTGGCCCGGGGGAGCGGAGGGCCCAGGGCGCCGCCGCCCGGGGGCATAGACCGTTGAGCTGGTCTAGTCAGCCCCCAGCCCGGCCTTTCTCCAGCTACACGCATTCTCTGGCGTCCAGGCTTCTCCTTTCGTACATGTGTCCTGCTCTGCAGCTCAGGTTCCCTCAGGACGGACAGCTGTCCTTTTGCTCCCGCCCAGGACGCCCATCCCGCCACTTAGACGCTTCCCACCAAAGCATCTGCTGTAGATGGTGACCACTCCATCCTCGCCAAGCGACACCACCTTTTCCCCCTTGCCCTAGGACCAGCAGTCTCTCCCCTCTGCCTTTCACGTCCCATAACCCCAGAGAAGGACCTGGGGCAGCTTTGGTTTCAAAGTTATAATGCATGGTTTAAAAGAGGGGGGAACAGAGAGAGAAAGCTGGTTACAGGTCTGAGGAAATCTAAGAAAGGAAAATGTAGAGAAAAGGAGGGGAGGGGACAAGTCTGGGGGAAATCCAGTGGCCCAAATCCGTTTCCCACCCACAACCCAGCCCTTGGAGTGAAGAATTAGATCAGTTTTGTACAAGAGTTTTTTAAAAAATTAAATCACAACAAAGCTGGCTTGGCTTCTCTCTGAGCCTCCCGGATTATTGAATGTCTGTCTCACTCTGGCCAGTCCTCTCTCCATCACAGACACTGTTTCCGCTCTCCTAGACCTCTGCTTATGTCCCAGTCTGGGGTTTCCAGGGAGTGCGAACAGGAAGTTAGAGAGAGGCTGCTTCAGAGTCTGGCCCATGTGTCCATCCAGGTTCCATATGGAGTGCAGGGCTCCCAGGGCAGAGAGGGGAGGGAGGGGCAGACCCTGCCCAGGCAGTCCTCACCATTGGACAGGGCATCAGACAGCATCTCGAGGGCTCACCCTCCCTCTCCCCCCCACCCCAACTCAGGTGGAGGGGGAGCAGCTGTCACCAGAGCCGGTGTTGGTGAAGGTTTCGGCTTAGCACAGAGCGAACATCAGCGGTGAACCTGGGATGACAATAACTTGCATTGGTAGAGTCCTTACAGTTGACAGAGGCAGCCTCACTGGAGATGTGGGGCAGTCACCATTTCACATGAGACTGAGGTTCAGTCTGCTCAAAACACAAGGGCTAAAAAGTCAGCTTTAGTATAAGACTTCCATTCAAATGCTAAACACTTACGGAAGAGAGGTAAGGAAGTAAAACAGGACAAGCTTTTAATCCCCCCCCTCTTCTTTTCCTCAGAAATCTAAGGGTCCAGTTTTCCTCACCTGAGGGCATCCAGCATGGGGAGCAGATTCAGAAGGGCCGTGTCGCTGGGGTCGCTGAACCAGGACTTGATGGGGATGGCATTGTCTAAGTCGAGTGGAAAATACACGAGAAGAAACAATGCATTCAAGAGAGACAAGGTGTTTTTTCTTTTGTTTGGGAGTAGGGATCATTACTTTAAAATACATGTATTTACCTCACCACCAGTCACCTACCTAAATCAATAACAATAACCTAAGTAAAAACCTTCCTGATTTGTACTCGAAAATAAAATTAACTTGCAATCACCATATCTCACACTAGTATGAGGCTTCTAGTCATACCTATTGTCATTATGACGTATATCTGCTGTGAGAAATCTGATTTACGAAATGGACATGTGGGGGAGGGGGAAACATCTCATTTAAAAGCGGAATAACTTGCACCTTGACCTACAATAAAGTAAGGCATCCCAGCTCCACGCATTCAAAATACTTCCTCAGAGCCACCTCCTGGGCCTGCAGACTCACCACATTTCCCCGTACCTGGATGGCTCCTGTAAGCCCCTGGGGAGTTATCCAAGATCACAATGCTGGAGAGGTCACTGTGGACCACAGAGAGGTCCTTGATGTAGCTGCCCAATTCCAAAGTGCAGTGCTACAAGGCAGGGTGAGTTGGGTATCAAAAGGCGACTCAGTCCTCTGTGATTGCTCCCCCAACCCCAACCACGCCATGGGCAGCCAAACTCCCACAAAGGGGACCATGCAGTAAGCCTCCCTCATGTCCCCAGGTCTCAATGCAAGGCAACTGCCTCAAACTCAAATCCCTCCCTGGCGACCTGCCTCCGGAGTTCACTGAGACCTGGATTCTAGCCCCTTACCTGTCTGTAATATCTTCTCTTGAGAATGCTTCTGCTATTGTCTAGTTTATCTGCCACAGCAGAGCCATAAATCTCCATGCTTGCTGTGAATACGACCAGCTCGTACCACTGGCTCACCTGAAATAGATAGGGGGAGGAGGTATCAGAAGAGGTGATCATTCATTTAGACATATAGTGCTTTTTCGCTGGAACTATTGAATGTCTCTGAGGACACAAAATTCTGAGTGCTCCCAAACTCAGAGTCTTAGGCACCATACACCCTTAATTAAGATTCAGAGATGCAAGAACAGAAGAGCAGGAAGCCTGTGGAAGAACAGAATTATACCCGAACAAATGAACCCAAACTACCAAAAGCCGTTCTTCAACCATATCACAACCTCCCACCCCCAAAATTGCCCTCAGCCATTTCTCCTCACCCCTTATTTCCTCCAAATCTTCTAAATTACCAGAGCCCTAAAACCATTCCTTCATCACAGAGCTCCCTTTGGCTTCTGCAAACTCACCACTTCTAAGAAGAAATCCACATGGGGCCTCTTATGTACAAAAAACCGGACAGGATGTTTGTCTATTACCACCTGTAGAGGAACAGGGAAGGACTGGGGGAAGTCCTGAGCACCACTGCACGGCCTGAAGGACATCCCCCGCCTCCCCTCCCACTGCCTGCTTCCCTTCTTCAGGCTGACACTGGTGCCAGGGGATGGAGACAACACATTCTGGGACTGGGAAAGGTCTAAGCAGAACAGACATAACCATTCCATCACTTCCCACAGCACACACCTTGAGGATGAAGTCAGGAGGTGTTCCAGGTCGGACCGTGGGCCTCAGAACCCCATCATGATGGGAGTGAATAAGTGTCTCATCCAGATCCAGCACCAGAATCTTCCTCTTCACCTGGCCTAAACCACAACAGGAAAAAATACCACCAAACAACTTCTAGCCCAGACCTTGAACCCTACCTCACCTTAAAGGATCTTCCCAGCCAGCATACTCACCTAGCCGATTCCGAGACACAGGAGATAAGGGAAGGATATCATATCGAACAGTTTGGTACTGAATTACCTGAGAACAAAAGAGAGGATTAGAATCCTAAACAAGGAAATCTTCCTCAGTAACAATAGGTAGCACATGTTGAACATTTACCGTGTGTTGTGCACTGTGTAAATGACTTAAGATGACTTCATTTATTTCTCAAAACAACAATAATATCAACTCTTGTTTTAAGAATAAAGAAACTGAAGCTTGAAGAGATTAAACACATTGCCTAAGGCCACATAGCTAGGAATTATATTATTTAGTTGTTTGTTCCAATTAGAATGAAAAAAACTCCATGAGAGCATGGATTTTGTCTCCATCGTGCTGTCCTAGAACACTGTAGCAAGGGGTGGTCAGTTAATATCAGAATCGATAAAGCGGTGGAGTCAGGATTGTACCCCTGCAGTGCCATACAAGAACCTGCTCTCTTAACTCTGATATCCCCTTGCTACTTTGAACAAAGAATTGCACAGCTCTCCCCACCTCCACCCCAAGGATTCTTTGTGACAACTCCCATCAGCCTTAGATTCCTTAGTGGATACAGGGTAGGAGTCAAGAAGGGAGGTCCTCGGGCTCCTAGGGGAACAGAGGATGAGGGAATCCAGGGGTTGTCAGGTCAGCTCAGTTCCTCTGGCTACGGGCCACCAGGCCTATTTTAACCAGCCACCTGTCCATTTCTGTCTCTATGAGCCAAGTCACAAGTTGCAAAGAACCTAAGCCCTCTGAACAGCCTCCTTTTCCTGGTACCCAGGGCAAGGCAGAGGACAGTGGAAAGCCCCACCCGCCAAGCCAGCTGATAGGGTGTGCAGAAGGCCCGAGTGAAGTAAGGGCTATGAGTAAGAGGTGAAGATGGGACAAGGACATCACTAGCTCAGCCTTCTAGTTTCTCCAAACCTTTTCCGAAGGCTCTTATTTCTAACACTTGCAAAGCCTGGCAATTCCCCCCACTGCTCTTTTCTCCTAAGGTACAGACCAATGCTCTTCAGTCCATCCACAGGCCCTGAGTCTCACCAGAACCAGGCTCCCCTTGCAAACCAAAGAGCCCTCACCCCTAATCCCAAGGCATCTGCCCTTCTTTTCTCCCTGGGCCATCGTGAGGGCCGACACAGCTCGGGTGTCCTGCCCTGCTATCTCGGGTTGCACATGCTGGGCATGTAGGGACTGCTCCAAGCATCTGCCAGAAAGGGGGTGGGGGAAAACACCAGATTGGAAGGGAAGACAAAAGACTGTGGGGTCAGTGCCACTCAAAGGAAAGCAACTAACCTCTGGCTGGGCTAAAGGACTACTCCCTGCATCCAGAACAAAAAGTGACGTGTCAGGAGAAGAAGGTGGGATGCTCAGAACGAGGCCAAGCAAAGAGGGCTGGCAGCTAACATGTAGAGAAAACCCCAGGGGCTGACCCACACATCTGAGCATCTCACCCCAAATTCTTCTTGGCTCCTAACTCTTGTCTCAGCGAAATAGCCCTGCCTACCACCATGACCACCCAGAACAATCCACACTCTAAGTCAGGAAATGGAAGTCGAATGGTAAAGGAGACACTCAATGCAAGGCCAGGCCCATTCCCCCAAGTCAATCAAGTCCACCACTACCACCCAGGGTTTTCTGGAAATTCCCTGACATAGGCCGCTCCTGCCTGGTTTTCTTCTTTCAAGTTTTACTGAGGTGTGCCAAAGGGTACGGACCAGAGAGCCTCTGCGCCCTCGCTCACTTAATTTTCCCCAGACTTCAGAGGATTCTCCGCAATGGTGATGAGAACGCAAGAGCACATTCATCAAATGGCACTGGCCTCAGAAGCTTTGACTCTGGAGAAAAACTGTGAGGGAGGGAACCCACACACGGATACATGCCGTCTCCACTGCCCACAGAGCCTCCCACAATGCCAGGGTTCTCGGGGAGAAATGGGGTGCCTGGCCCTGGGATTCCAGCCTGCACCGACAAGCAGCGTCCCCTGCCAGGACACCCGAACTTTCCAGTGCTCCCCGCCACGGCCAAAGCAGCCAGGATCTCAGTGAGTCCAGACACCCGCACTCACATTCAGAAGGAAGTTTTCTGGGCTTTTTTGCAGGAGTTGCCTTAATGCAAACCGCAGGGGTTTCTCCCTCGCACCCAGGGCTTTTCTCAAGTTCCCACCCTTGTTTGTCACAGATACCCTTCCACCCACCCCCACTCTTGACCCCTAAGCCTGTCTCTCCCTTGTTCAAGGCCAAACACAGTTTCCTAATCACAGGAGGGTCTCTCGCAGGCCCACATGAACACATCTGCTGCCATCAAACAGGTGTCCCCCGCCTCTCCGTTCCTTTAGCAACTCCAGCTTTTTTAAGAGCGCCCCACCCACCACCCTAGCCCCCAAGAATTGCCAAATCCTGTCCCTAAGCCCCCCGCCCCATCTTGGTTCTACTACAAGGATCCCCCTCCTCCCCGTTCCACCCCAGGCCCTGCCGAAGGTGCCCCGGTTCTCTAAGGGGGGAAGCCGCCACCAGGACCAGACAGAGGCCGACCCCTTCCGAAAACCCGTGAGCATCGCTGACAGAGGCCCCACCACGACCAGCGCCCACCCAGGCTCACCGTGCGGATCTGCCTCCGCAAAAGGTAAATGAAGAAGCTCCACAGCTTGGCGGCGAAGGCCACGAACGTGCGCAGCCCCAGCAGACACTGCGTCCGCATCATCCCGATGACCCCGGCACCGCCGGCCCCGGGGCCCCCGCGGCCCAGCTCCGCCAGCCCCCCGGGGGCAGCCCCCCGCCGCCGGGAGGGGAAACGGGGGCCCCGAATGGCAGGAGAGGCTGCAGAGAGGGGCACGGGGCGGGCGGCTCAGAAGGCCACCCCCGGCGAGGGCAAAGCCCAGCGAAACCAGGAGCTGGGGGGCCGGCGTGGGCAGCCCGCAGGGGCCCACATGGGCAGGGAGGGGCACCGGCGGCTTCGCGGAGACTGCGGGCCGAGACAGACCGGGTTAGGACGGGGTCCTCCGAGCGCAGGAGGGAAGGGGATGGAGAATTGGGGGAGGGGGCGCCGGGGGAGGGGGCTCGGGAGAAAGGAGGGGGAGGGGGAGGAGGAAGCGGAGGGGGGCCCGCTGCGCAGGCGCGCTAGGGGGCTGCCCGCGGGAAAGGGGCGGGCGCGGGCAGCGGCGCGCGAAGGGCCGCGGCCCGGGAGAACGGGGCGGCTGCGCGAAGGAGCGGGAAGGAGGGGAGGGGGAGCCGAAGGGCGCGGGTGCCTGAGCCGGGGCGGCCTCCCCCTCCCCGAGGTCGGGGGCGCCTTAACCGCTGAGAAGCGGGGCTGCAGTTTCTGCAGCTGGATTTCCCACTCTGACGGGCGCCATTTTACCACCCAAAGGGCTCCCTCCTCCTCTCCTCCCCCCTCCCCTTCACCTCTGACACTACTTCCGGTGGTGACGTGTATTCGCTTCACCCGGACTGCGGTTCCCGGCGGGGCCTACGGGGGAGGGACGAGGACCGCGGTGTGCGCCGCGCGCCAGGCCGCAGCACCGCGCACGCGCAGACGGCGGCGGCGGGCAGGCCCTGGGGCGCAGCAGGCCCCGCCTCTGACGGGGTGAACGGGGCGGGGTGACTCCAATTGACCCCGACTTCGGGCGGTCGGACGGGCTCGTGCGGCCTTCTCCCCCTCCCGCCGACGGCCGCCCCAACCGCTCCTCCCGCCCCGGTTACTGTAAAAATGTGGAGGGGGCGTCGTCCGTACGTATGTGCGCCAGGCGCGGGAGAGGCCCCTCCGCGCGCGCCGCCCCGGGCCTATGGGACATAGTGTGACCCCTCCGTCCAGACTAGGCCGGCTCCGAGGGGGGCGGAACCATGGTGCCCCGCCCCTTCCCCTGGAGGCGGGGCAGCGGTCGTGACGCCATCAGAGGGCGTCGGAGAAGCGACGGGCCGCTCGCGGGAGATGCTGGAGTCGCTGTTGGGTCCCGGCGGCCTGGTGCTGCTTCGGGGTGCGGGGCGCCGGCACGGGGGCGCGGGAGCCGGGCTCGAGGGGCGGAAGCGGAGGGGAAGGGCCGTGGGTCACAGCCCGGGCGGTGGTGGGGACGGTGAAAGCGGAAGCCTTGGTTCTCACGCTGTCTGTCCGCCCGTCGCTCTCCCCAGACTCGGTGGAGTGGGAGGGGCGCAGCCTCCTGAAGGCGCTCGTCCGGCGGGCCGCGCTGCGGTGAGTACCCGCGGCCCCCCGCCCCCGGAAGCCGCCCGGGCCGCTCTGACATCCGCCTTCTCTGGTCCTCAGGGGGGAGCGGGTCCACGTCCTGGGCTGTGAAGTGAGCGAGGAGGAGTTCCGGGAAGGCTTTGATTCCGGCACCAACAGCCGGTAAGTGCAGGTTGGAAGAGAGTCCGTGGGATGTGAATGTCCCTTAAAGCAGCGAGACCAGGGTCTGGCGTGGGAGAGGTTCCCGTCCGTGACGCTTGGGCTAAACAGCCGCCTCGGGCGGTGAGTAAAGAAAAATGGAATTTATGTAGGAAAACGGGTTGGGGAACGGGGATGTCCAAAGGGAAGTGCGACACAGCACTAAGCCGAGGGTGTTGGGTCTCGGATGGCAGCAGAGCCACACTGAGGACAGTGAAACCAGGAAGGGCCCAGAACAGCGGTTCTCAACCTGTGGGTCGCGACCGCTTTGGGGGTCGAACGATCCTTTCACAGGGGTCGCCTAAGACCATCGGAAAACATATATATAACTACATACTGTTTTTGTGATTAATCACTATGCTTTAATTATGTTCGATTTGTAACAATGAAATTGGGGGTCACCACAACCTGAGGAACTGTATTAAAGGGTCGCGGCATTAGGAAGGTTGAGAACCACTGGCCTAGAAGCAGCAACAGTAACGCCTGGGCTGGGCTGCTTGGCCGGCCCACTGAGAAGTCGGAGAAAAGGGGGCCTTGGAGACAGGGTCAGGGGGATTTGCCACTGCCCGTTGCTCCCCTGGTTGCAAGTCTGGTGGGGTCCCTTGGAGAAAAGAAGGGGGAAGGGAAAGGCTCTGGCGTGTTCCCCTGGGGGAGAGTGGGTGCTGGGTCCTTCTTCCTGAGTGAACGGGTATCTCTTGCAGTTGGGAATCTTGGGGGAGGTCTTAGAGGAGGGTCTTAATAGAATATTCATCAGCTTTTCAGGTGTGTCCTTTCAGGGTTCTGGTCTCCACTGATTGGTTGTGCCAGAGCAGGGTCATTAGTCAGTGGTCCTGAGGCAGCCATGGGGGTCACTTGTCTGGTTTTGCTGCTTTTGGGGCCTGGAGCTGCAGTACAGCTGAGGCCTAGATGTTATCTTTAGGGAAAAAAGGTCAGGCATCCAAACTGTGATATGACAGGAGGACAGCTTATCCTGGAGGCGAGGTTCTCGTTCTCCCAGTTTTGCCCTTGCTAGGCAGCTGGGGCTTTCTGTACCTGGCCCTTCCTTCCTGTGTTACGACTGCCTAACGGTATGTAGGAGCAGCTACTTATTCATTGTATGAATCGATAGGGATCTTTCAGGAGGCAAGAATGAGCAAGAGGAATGTTAAGGAGTGGTGAGTATGTGGAGAATCCACAGCAGAAATTATAGAATGTGAAAGAAGTAGAGGGTAAAGGCCAACAGACAAGTTTAGCACTAGAAGCTGTCCTGGAGAAGAAAAATAAACCTGTTCTGCCTTTTGAGTTATTCAGAATCGGATTCCAAACTTGCATCAACACTTAACTACACACTACTGAGGGATTTGTCCCACAGGCAGAGGGAACAGCATATGCAACAGTTAGGGATGTATGGGGAAGGCATACCTGTTCATGGATGATGGAAGAGCTTACTGAGGTCAGACAGAAAAAGATACCTGAGCCCTAGCCAGTTTGCTCAGTGGATAGAATGTTGGCCTGCGGATTAAAGGGTCCCAGGTTCAATTCCAATCAAAGGGCTCGATCGGTGTATGCAGGAGGCAACCAATCGATGTGTCTCTCTCACATTGATGTTTCACTCTCTCTGTCTTTCCCCCTTCCTTCCACTGTCTCTAAAAAACAATGGAAAAATATCCTGGAGTGTGGATTAACAAAAAAAAAATACCTGATAGCTCTGGCCAGCATGGATCAGTGGTTAGAGCATTGGCCCGCAAACCCAGAGGTCATGGGTCCTATTCCGGTCAAGAGCACAGACCTGGGTTGTACATTCCCGACCCAGTTGGGGTGCATTTGGAAGGTAATCAATTGATGTGGCTTTCTCACATGGATATTTTCCTCTCCCTCCTCCCTCTCTGCTCTCTCTAAAATCAATGGAAAAAATATCTTCCAGTGAGGATTAACGGCAACAACAAAAAGATGCCTGGTAGTGAAAGGTCTTACAGAGTCTGAAAAGGAGTTTAGATGTTGTAAAGGAAGTGAGGAGTCATTTGAAAATTTGGGAGGGTAGTATCATCATTCCTGTTAAGATTCAGTGACCACAGTGTTGAGAAGTGTTGGCAGGGGCAGCCTGGCGATAGGGAAACCAGGTGGGAAAATTATTGCAGTAATCCAGGTTGACTCAGGTGGGTATGTACTGAGCACCAGTTGTGAACCAGCTACCCACTGGAGATAGAGTAGTGAATGGGGCAGATAGGATCCCTGTTCTTATGAACTTAGAGCATAATGGTAGGAGGTGACAGACCTGGCTTGAGGGAATGGCCGTAGGAATGGAGAGTTTAGCACAAATGTTAAAGGACTTGAGCCACTTATAGATGGACTTACAGATGTGGGGTAGAGGCAAGCTTCCAGGTCAGGAGGTCCCTGAACCCATTTACGTTGCCTAATTAAGAAAGATTATTTCCTGGTCTAGGTAGCTCCATGAATTATAACAAGTTTATATCTGTCCGTTGAGCCCTAATTTTGTACCAGTCATTGCGAGAGAGGTGATGCTGTATGTTAAGATGTCATTTGAAAGGGAACAGAAGATAGAGAGGAGGTATCTGGGAACAAGTTCTGCCGCCATGCAGCTTTCCCAGGATTGTTAGCCCACACCAGCATCCCTTTCCTGAACCGCTGTTTTATCTGTAGTTCTTAATGATATGTAGGCCGCATAACTGAATTTGTGACCTTTGCTAAGCTGTTCTACAGGCTGGAACCATGTCTCGTGTTCTTTCCTTTCTCCTTATCCATCCAGAGATAGGCACCACCCGGCATATTTGACAGTGATGACAGCTAACGTTTATCAAGTATTTAGTATGCTTCAAGCCTTGTCCCAAATATCAAGAGGTTTGTATTCCTGTTTTACAAATGAAGAAACCAAGTCTTGGATTAAGTAATTTATCCTTTAGGTGACCTTGGGCAGTTAGCAAACCCGAGTTTCGAGTTCAGGGCTGTCTGATGCCAAAGTCTGTTTACTCAATCACTATATTCTATTTCTCAGTTACTACCTTTCACTGGTATATAAGATATTGGTAAAAATTGAGAAAATAGTGCCACAAAGATCAGAGGATGAATTTCAGGAGTGGGGGAGGGGTAGTATTATGTTGTCTGCTATTTTCTCTTTGTAGGCTGGTTTACCATGACCTCTTCAGAGACCCTCTCAACTGGTCAAACACTGGAGAAGCCCTTCCTGGGGGGCCCCTGGGAGTCTTGAGAGCACTGTGCACGAGAACAGGTCCTGGTCCTGTCACCATTGCTCTTGATTCTCTTAGCTGGCTGCTGCTTCACCTTCCCTGCACCACACTCTGCCAAACCCTGCATGCTCTGAGCCGTCAGGACTCCCGCCCTGGTGAGACCCTCCTTCATTACCTCCCCCCATATATGTCCCTCTGCCAAGGAACATAACCCTTTCTACCCTAAGAAACAACATATCAGGGATCTCCAAGTGGATCGTTTTTCATCTCTTTTTTAACATTTATTACTTTAACCATTTTTTAAAAATACGTTTTTATAGATTTTAGAAAGGAAGGGAGGGGAAGACAGAGAAGAAGAAACATTGACAAGCTGCCTCCAACATGCCCTCTACTAGGGATTGAGCCCGCAACCCACGCATGTATCCTGACCAGGAATCGAACTGGAGATCTTTTGGTGCATGGGTCAATGCTCAACCAACAGCCACACAAGCTAGGGCCTTTTTTCATTTTTTTTAAAAGTATATTTTTATTACAAAGGGGAAGGGAGAGGGAGAATGAGAAAGATAGAAACACCAATGGTGAGAGAATCATTGATCGGCTGTCTCCTGCACACCCCCCGCTGGGGATCAAGCTCACAGTCTGGGAATCAAACCATGACCTCCTGGTTCATAGGCTGATACTCAACCACTGAGCCATGCTGGCCAGGCCTTTTTTTCATCTCTTTAACCTTTATACTAGTTCTTGAGTTCTCTGTAATGCCACCTACCAATCACTTTTCCAAGTTCTTTTTTACTCATCTATCTTATTCATTCAGCAAACATTAAATACATATAGCATGTTAGATATTATTTTAGATAATAGGAAGATAAAGACTTTACTGTAGTCAGGTTCTTGTCTTCCAGGAGCTCAAAGTTCATCAAGGATGCAGACAAGTAAACAGGTAGTTACAAGATAATCTGATGAGAGCCATGATGATTGCCCTGACCGGTTTGGCTCAGTGGATAGAGCATCGGCCTGCGGACTGAAAGGTCCCAGGTTCAATTCCGGTCAAGGGCATGTACCTACTGCGGGCACATCCCAGTAGGAGGTGTGCAGGAGGCGGCTGATCAATGTTTCTCTCTCATCGATGTTTCTAACTCTCTATCCCTCTCCCTTCCTCTCTGTAAAAAATCAATAAAATATATTAAAAAAAAAAAAAAAAGAGCCATGATGATAAAGGAACGTGTACAGAGTACCTTAAATAAGGAACTGTCTTAGAGCAAGGGGTCAGCCCAGCAAATATGGCCAGGCCCATGGCACTAGGAAGTACAGGGTGGGGCAAATGTAGGATTGCAGTTGTGAGTACACGAAATCAGTTTATTCTTGTATTTTTATTTATTTATTGTCTTCCATCTGAACAACTGTAAATCTACTTTTGCCACACCCTGTATATTCTGGGTACTAGCATGGACTTTGGAGTCGGACACCTGGCTTTATATTATGGTACTTGATCTCTCAGTGCTTCAGTTTCCTCTGTAAACATGTGGAATTGCCATTTTTTGTAGTTCAGTGGTAGTCAAATGTCAAATATGAGCAAGTTCATATAGTTCAACCCAAAAATACTGACCTTTGTAAGAATTGAAATGTTACAGTAAAGTGTTTAGTGTAAATGCTCTAGCACTCGTAAATGCTCCTCAAAAGGGAGGAAATCAAAGGCACTAATGGGATCTTGGCAAGTTCCAGAAGCTGCAAGTCAGTATGTGAGAAGCAGGGGCCAGATGATGAAAGTGTCAGTTCATCCTTAAGGCTTGGAGTTGCCCTTGAGAGTTGTAGTCAGTGGTTTCCTGATCAGATTGACATTGGAGTAAGAAAGTACCGTGGACCCTGGTGTTTGGAATGTCTCCTACCTCAATCCACTTCTCTGCCTGACCCCCCCCCTTTCATGCTGATACCTGTATGATGAGTCACACATCTTTCCTGTGACAAAGGAGAGAACATGCAAATATGAGTCAGTTTACTGTTAAAAATCTCAGGATGTTGTGCTGTGAATATTTTGTGTTTTTTTGCTTTTGTTGCTGCTTATACTTACTATAAAATTTTCATTTTTTGATGTACGTTTCCTTTTTGTTAAATTTTCCTTTACATTTCTTATCCTTTTTGTTTTTAAAGTATTTATAGACTAAACAGTACAATAGACATGTACTATATATGAGGAAGGTTAAAACGGAAAAGGGATTCATTAAATTTACATTATTTCTAATGGGGGAAAAATGATTCGGTTTTCAAACAGCCTTCCGGAACAAATGAAGTTCAAGAAATGAGGTTCCACTGTACATGAGCGGTGAGAGCTGAAGCTCAGTGCAGGGCCGTGAAATGGGGCACACTAAGTCAGGAGTGTGGCAGAGAAGTGATGGCGTGTGGGCCTGCTTCTCTTTATTTGATCCCAGGCCTCCACCCCAAACGCTCCCTCCTGCCCTCTGTGACCTGCATTTCTTGTCCCTCCAGATGACAGCTCCCCAGTGGAACGTGTGCATGTGCTGGGCCTGCTACATGAAGAGCTTCATGGCCCAGGCCCTGTGGAAACATTGAGCTCCCTTGCTCAGACTGAAGTGACCTTGAGTGGTTCAGGGGACCAGGCCTCAGCTCACATTCTCTGTCGGAGGCCCCAACATCGTCCAACACATAAGGTCAGGAGAAACCTGGGAGGAGCAGAGGTTGGGTTCGGACAGAGGGGAAGAACAAAAAAAAACCCCACAAAAACTGATGTGATGAAGCACTTCTCTGTGCTTTCATCATTTTGTTATTTTCCTCATTTAATCTTCACAGCTACCCTGTGAGATAGTTTTTTTTTTTTTAAATATATTTCACTGATTCTCTACAGAGAGGAAGGGAGAGGGATAGACAGAAACATCGATGAGACAGAAACATCGATCAGCCGCCTTGGGCACACCCCCAACTGGGGATGTGTCCGCAACCAAGGTACATGCCCCTGACCAGAATCGAACCTGGGACCCTGCAGTCTGCAGGCCGACGTTCTATCCACTGAGCCAAACCGGTCAGGGCCTGTGAGATAGTTTTATTACCCCTGTTTTGCAGCCTGGGAAACTCCGATCCTGTGAGCTTAACCAATAAAAGATACTGCCCTCCAGGAAATGGAAATGGAGAAAAGACTGGGAGCGGTTACTGGTGGGGAAGGAACAAGTCCGTAAGGAGAAGTTTGAAGGAGGGGTGAGAGTTAGAGAGCAGGAGCTGAAAGCAGTTGCATAGCTTATTGGGGCTGAAGGTATTAGGTCTTTGGTTCTCTCTGGTTTCTTCAGTAAGATTGGAAAAAAAACTTTTTAATACTCTCCTTTCTTTTCCCCAGATTCAATGGTTCACCATCCTGCCTGACTTCAGCCTGGATCTCCAAGGGGGGTCTCCCCTAAAGTCCCAGCCCCACCCAGATCCTCGCACACACCCGGTATCTAAGAGTGCCAGGGCCAGAACAAGAGAATGGAGTTGGGATCTGGCAAAAAGAGAGAATAAAAACTGCAGAGGTTTGGGGGTGGGGTCAGAGATTACACGGATGGGGCATAGTGACAGCATCCTTTGTACTTACAGGTGGATCCCACTTCTCACTTGACCTTTAACCTTCACCTGTCCAAGAAAGAGAAGGAAGCCAAAGATAGCCTGACCCTGCCCTTCCAGTTCAGCTCAGAAAAGTAAGGCTGCAGCCTATATCCCTGGGTCCTTAAGTATAGAGCCCAGTATCTGTGCCCAAGAGGTGGGGTGACAACAGATTATTGATTAACCTCAGACTTTATAAGGGGTTGAAGTCCATCTCCAGAGCCAAGTCTGGGGAGTGGTTCTCTACCCACCCATACCCCAACAATGACAAAGCGCCTTTGTCGCCTTCTTCTCCATTACAGCCTTGGGTCCCAGCCCCACATCTGGGTCTAAGCTGAGCCAGAACAAGACCCTGGGGAAAAGGCCCTATCTCCAGGCAACAGTACCAGGACAGGAAGCCAGATGGGGAGGGCAAAGGCAGGTTAATAAGGGCTTAGTAGGTACCTGTTCTGTGCCCAGTGTGTGGGTGCATGAAGTAAGACTGGCAGGATCCTTGCCCTCAAGCTACTAGGAGTATTATTAGGAGAGTGGTGTTGAGTATCTATTCCAGGACCAAATGGTGCTTCAGTACAACTAAACCAGGAGCTCAGAGAAAGGGACTTGGATCAAGAAAATACGGAGTACAAAGAAGGAGTCATAGTTACCAGGTATAGGGTATTCAGATAGGACCCTTGTTGCCCACCCTCACCAGCACCAATTCTTCTCTCTCAGACAGCAGGCTCTACTGTGCCGGGGTTTAGGCCAAGCTACCAGCCATATCTTCTATGAGCCAGATGCTTATGATGACCTGGACCAAGAGGACCCAGATGATGACCTAGATATTTGACTAGACTGAATTGGAGGGGGGTGCGGAGACCTTGGGCCTATAACCATTGTTCCAGTTGGCCTTACCTTGTTTCTTCCCCATCTTTGTTTACTGTGTCTCTGGAGACCCTACCCTGTGACCCATGAGCCAGGGAGCAGTGTCCAGTCAGGACAAAAAGTGGATGGGCCCTAGCCAGTTTGGCTCAGTGGACAGAGCATCAGCCTGCGGACTGAAGGGCCCTGGGTTCGGTTCTGGTCAAGGGCACGTACCTTGGTTTCAGGTTCCCCGGCCCTGGTCAGGGTGCATGCAGGAGGCAACCAATCGATATGTCTCTCTCACATCGATGTTTCTCTCTGTCTCTGTCTCTCCCTCTCCCTTCCACTCTCTCTAAAAATCAATGTAAAAATATGAGGATTAACAAAAAAAAAGTGGGATGGGGGCAGAGGGAAAGGTGAGAGACTAGGAAACCTATCACACACACACACGCCTAATAAAGTATTTTTTTATTAAAAAAGAAACTCTGGTAGCTATTTAAGCAAGAGTTGGGAGCAGAAGGGACTGGAAGATGTCAGTGGATTAAGGAAACCAAGTATCTGAGTCTTTAGACTCAGTGAGGGGTGTTTGTTTTTTAGCTGAAACAGGTATACTGAGGTTCCAGGCTCCCTGCAGGGATCTCGGTAGGAAAAAAGCAGAGGCCCTGAAGGGAAAGAAAGAAGCCTACTTTCCAAAACATACGTTTTATTACTGTACAAAAAGCACATCCGCTCTCCTTTGTTCTCCCCCACCCAGCCCCCAGGGAACTGAACGTGGTGTACAGGACTGCATGACCCAGGGCTGCCGCCGCACACCCTGCCCACAGGCTGAGCTCTGCCCCAGGTCCTTTTAAGTGTCTAGGTTGCCAGGCTGGGGCAACGGAGTCCCAGCTCACACATACTCCTTGGCAGAGCTGGGCTTAGAGTAGGAGCGGGGCGCACCGTACCTAGCTTTGCCCTCACTCCCAGGACAGGAGCAAGAGAGCATTGCACCTCCCAAGAGGACCAGAGCAGACCCTGCCCAGCCGATGAAGATGGCAGGACCAAACTCGTACCTGTGGGGAGAGGGGATTGAGGTCAAACCCTGGCCTGTCTCCAGACCCCAGACCTGTCCCTTAGGAGGCAAGACTCCCATACTTACTTAGTATTCATGGGGACCAAAGGGTTATAAAAGTCTGTGATAATCTTATGGCCGTACCAGGAGCAAGCTATCAAAGCAGCCAGACCTAGGGAGACAAGGAGGATGTAGATACTGTGAGACCCCTCAAAGCAGCACCACGTCCGCCCTAACTCAGAGCCCTGAGGCCACCTTGGACCCGTGACTCACCTGCCACGATGAAAATGATGCCTCCGGTCATGGCTATCCGGGCCTTTTTCACTTTGTCGTCTCCCCCACAGCGTGTGCACTTCATGCCCATAGTGGCCACGAACATGGCCATGAAGCCCAGCACGAGGGACACCACCATGAGCGCTCTCGTGGCCTGAAAGGCCGCTGCGAGGGAGGAGGGAGACCTTTCATGACTGGCAGGCAGCAGCCTTCGGAACACCCCAGCCTTCGAGCCCGCGGCTGCCCGAGGCCGGGCCGGTTCTGGGTGGATCCCGGCTCCGGGGCCTCCAGCTCCGCCCCGCCCTGCCTCAGCTCTGCGACTCGCCCGGGGCGCCCGGGTTTCGATGAAACTGCCCTGGGCAGGGGAAAGGGGGAAGGGACAGCGGAGGCGGCCGCTGGAGGTTCCGCACGGGCCGCAGACGACGGCCTCGGCCCGGGTCTGACCCCACTATCGAGGCCACGGGGTTTGCGGCTTCGTCTAATCGGTCGATAAGATTAGAGGCCGCAGGCGTCTGCCTCGGTTAGACCAGAGCGCACGGCTCCTCCACCGAACCCCGCGCCACCCTTTGTCCGAGAGGACAGGGCGGGCGTAGGAGAGGCCACTGCCAGCCCGGGGCGGCGGAGGAGACCCCGGCCAGCGCCCGGCCGCCCCTGGGGAACTGGGGTAGGGGTGCGGCTCCGGTGTAGCCGCCAGAACGCGCCCGCTGCGGCCCCCACTGCCATGTCCCGGCGCCTCCGCGCCCTCCTCGTCCCGCTCCCTCCTCTCCCCGCTGGCTCCCAGGCAACCCAGGGCGTCGGGCGCGGGGCCCCGCCACCCACCCCTGACCTCGGCCCTGGGCGCGTCGGATGGCCCCGGCCCGGCCCCGCCACCCACCGCTGACCTCGGCCCTGGGCGCGTCCGCCCCGTCGGTCTCGGCCTTACCGGGCAGGGCAAGCACCGAGTCGTACATTTTGCAGCTAATCATCCCCGTGCTCTGCGTCACGCAGTCCATCCACAGCCCCTTGTACATGGCCTGGGCTGTGATGATGTTGTCTCCCGCGTACGAGCTCATCTGCCATTGCGGGAGGGCGGTGCACACCACCAGGCCCACCCAGCCCAGCAAGGCCATGGCGAAGCCGAGCAGCTGCAGGCCCGAGTTGGCCATTCCGCCCTCACAAAGACGAGGGGCGCGGGCGGGAGCCTCTGCAGCAAAGGAAACTTCGAGGGGCGAGCCCACCAGACGGCTGGGGCTGCAGTTATAGGTCACCCAAAGCGCAAAACAGTTTCTGGTCGAGTGACTGCGAAGTTTTTATCACCCGAAAGAAACCAATCGCCCCTCCGGCGGGCGAGGGTCTCCGCAGAGGGAACAGGTGACGCTCCGAGGACCAGTGGCCGGCAAAGGCGATCCCCGGAGTCCAGGCCGTTCCCTCCGGTGCTGTCGGCGACGCTTCCCAAACAAAAGGTGGAGGCGCCGAAGGGGCGGCTCCGGGTGCTGAAGTCCCCGCTGGACGCTGGGCTGTCGGCCCGGGGCCGAGGTGCAAGCGGCGGTGAGCTGGCGGGTGCGGGCGGGCGGATGCGGGCGGACAGGTGCGGCGCACCGGGTATATGTAGGGCGTCGGGGGCGCGCCCCCGCGGGGCCTGGGAGCGCGAGGGGGAGCGGAACCGGAGGGGCGGCCAAGAGTGACCTGACGTCACCGAAGGGACACTCACCTGGGCCGGAAGTCCTGGCCCCCACCCCTCCTCTCCCAGGTATAGAGGAAGAAACTTGAGCACAGGGTCACGCCCCTTCACTTGCCCGTCTGTGACCACAGGTCGGGAGGAGGCGGCGGCCTCTCGGAAGTCAACCCCGCTGGACTGGACTTCGGTCGGGCCCCGGGATGCGCCTTCCCCGCGCCCCAACAGGTGCGCCAGGGGCGCGGGGGAGCCCGAGCGCGGGGACGCCCCCGGCCAGCCTTCGCTCCGCCCCGCTCCCCCTCCACCTCCCGCCGCGGGGACTCCAGGCTTCCCTTTAGGCGCTTTTCATCCCGCCCTCCCTCTCCCCACCTTCTGCTCTACTCCCTTCCCTTCTCTTTCCTCTCCTGGCCGACCCCGTCAGGGCCCTGGCTCCAATCCTTCGCCCTCTCCCTTCAGCAGCCGTGTTGGAGTCGCCACCCAGAGCCACCCCAGCACGCGCGCCCCTCCGCGGTCCGCTGCCCTCCTACCCGGCCCTCCACCGGACGCCCGGCCTGCAGGCACGCCCTCCCGTCTTCTTGGTCCCCTCCATGCACATCCCTGCTGAAGTGACTCAGTGCCTGGGCCCTCCCAGCGGTCACTATCCCCTCCCGAATCAGGGGTCCTTGTAACAGAAGGAAGAAACCACTGAAAGCAGAAGCCAGCTGAAGGCGGGGTGCAGGGTAAGGTCTCCGGTACCGCCTTGGTCACATCCCTCATTCCCGCCCTTGAAGTCTTTTCAAACTTGTCCTTCGCCTTTGCCTCTTTCTCCCTCCTACTCCCTCTTTTGCCCCCCGCTCCCCCAAGCCCCCAGTCCCCCAGCCATACCCCATTTCTCCTTCATTCTGAGCCTGGACCAGCCTCTCTGTATGGGCTCTCCCACGGCTCTGTCCTCCCTGACATCTGGCTCTCAGGCTCCCACCTCACCCTCAGGTTTCTTCTCTGACTCTCCCTAAACTATTTCCCCATCCTCCCTCTGGGTATCTCTGCCAGCATCCCACATCACTCATTCCTCCCACATAGCTTATCCTCCCCCCTTCCCGCCTTTTCCACGTCCTATTTCACTCCTGTCTCCAGCTCTCCTGGAGTCCAGCATCACCAATTAGTCTGTCTTTGCATCTTCCTGCCCAGTTTCCTCCCAGTCTTCCTCGCCTCCCACCTTGTCACACCTCCCAGACTCACACACCTTGCTTACGCTCTCTTACTTCATTTTTCTCTCTCCTTCCCCCCCCCCCCGCAACTCTCACGCATTTCCCATTTTTGTTCCTCCTTCTTAAACATGTCTGTAGGTCTTTCCTTCTTGTATTCAATAAACATATTAAAGAGGCCCTCATACTGCCGAAACCGGTTTGGCTCAGTGGATAGGGCGTCGGCCTGCGGACTGAAGGGTCCCGGGTTCGATTCCGGTCGGGGGCATGTACCTGGGTTGCGGGCACATCTCCTACCGGAGATGTGCAGGAGGCAGCTGATCGATGTTTCTAGCTCTTTCTCTCTCTCCCTTCCTCCCTGTAAAAAATCAATAAAATATGTTAAAAAAAAAAAGAGGTCCTCATACCAAGTCAATTAACCTGTTTGTTTGTTTTATAAAATGCAGACATTAATGAACTCTTTTTTATTCATTCATTTTTTTTCTACTTTGGGGTTAATGGTCTTTTTTTCTTTTCTTTTTTAAAATTGACTTCAGAGAGAGGAAGGGAGAGGAGGAGAGGGATAGAAACATCAGTGATGAGAGAGAATCACTGACACCCCCTACTGGGGATGGAGCCTGCAACCCAGCATGTGCCCTTGACTGGAATCTAACCCGGACCCTTCAGTCCGCAGGCCGCTGCTCTATCCACCGAACCAAACCAGCCAGGTCAATGGTGTTTTTTAAAGGCGCTTTCCAACTCTAAAATTCCATATTCCTCATTACTTAGGTAGATACAGCTTCTCTCCACACGCACTGCCACCACCTCAGGCCAAGCCACCGGTCCCCTCTTGCCTGGACACTAACTGTCTCCAAACCAATCCCCTGCTTCCCTTCTCGTCCTCCTAAAATCTAGTCTCTGGAAGTGACTTTTTTTTTTTCCAAACAAACTTCGAGAATCTTGTCACTCCCTGTTGAAAAGCCTTATATCTTCCAATGGCACTCCTTTGCTCCTATTGTTCGGCTGGGTTTGGCAAATGCCATACCAGACTGCTTGAGCCACACTGGCATCTTTCTGTTCCTGAAACATACTTCCCACCAAATTGCCTTCGCACACTCTGTTCTCGATGCCTGGATGTTCTCCATGTACCCCCCACCCACTTTCCTCTACCCAGCCAGCCAAGTAATCCTTCAGCTATCAGCTCAAATATCACTTCTCCTAGGAGGCCTGGCCTGGCTACCCCACCTCAGACTGAGTCAGATCACCTGCTGAACGCTGTCACCGCTACTTACCTATACTTTACTTTCAAAGCTCTTATCATAGTTTGAAACTATTTACATTGTGTGCTTATTTATTCAATGTCAGTCTCCCATTATACTAAGTTCCAAGAGGGCAGAGATGTGTCTGGGTTTTATCATCAATAAATATTTAATAGCCTGGCTAGCGTGGCTCAGTGGTTGAGCGTTGACTTATGAACCAGGAGGTCGTGGTTCGATTCCCGGTCAGGGCACATGCCCGGGTTGCCGTCTTGATCACAGGGTGGGGCATGCAGGAGGCAGCCGATCAATGATTCTCTCTCATCATTGATGTTTCTATCTCTCTCTCTCTCTCTCTCTCCCTCTCCCTTCCTCTCTGAAATCAATAAAAATATATTTAAAAAATATTTGATGAATAAATTTGAAAACTAACTATATTTTCACCCATGTGTTCAATAAATACTTCCTGAGTGCCTGTATAATGTACCAGGCACCATGTCGGACACTGAGGACACAGCTGTAAACAAGAAATATAAGGACACTGCTCACGTGACTTACATTCTAGAGAGAGGGAAGCAGACAATAAAATCAAACAAAATGGCTGATGTTTTGAAGGCAATAAACCAGGTGAATGTGATGAGGTTGGCTCCACTCCCGAGGGAGACTTTTCTGGGAAGCGTGAATAAGAAGCCAGCCATGTAAAAATCATGTTCTAGTCAGAGGTCACAGCAGATGCTAAGACCCTGTGTCACCTGCCCCTTTGAGACTTGGAGTATTAATTTAAAGCAGGCTCTATTAACCTCACACATTTGATACTTGGGATCAGATAATTCTTTGATACGGCTGATGGTCCTGTGCATAGGATATTTAGCATCCTTAACTTTTACTGATTAGATGCCAGTAGAATCTACCCCTGAACCCCAATGTGACAGTAAAAAAAAAAGGGGGGGTGCAGCTCTGGCTCGTTTGGCTCAGTGGATAGATCCTCAGCCCACAGACAGAGACTAAAGAGTCAGGGGTTTGATTCCAGGCAAGGGCACGTACCTCAGTTGTAGGCTTGATCCCCAGGCAGGAGGCAACCAATCAATGTGTCTCTCTCACATCGATGTTTCTCTCTCTGTGTATGTCTCTCCCCCTCCCTTCCACTCTCTCTAAAAATCAATGAAAGGTGGAAGGATATCCTTGGGTAAGGATTAATAATAATTTAAAAAATGGGTGCAAGGAGCAAGTAGAGGGATCATGGGGATTAACCAAGGTTGATGACTAAAAAGAGAGAGAAGGGATTTTTAAGGTATTTGCACGAGAGTGTTTTATGTTAGATCAGTGACATGAATTGGGTAAGAAGGCGCGTAAACATAAAAAAGGGGTTGGTAGATGGTACAAGAAGGGATAGGATCAATGGTTTAGAGGCCTCTATGACGTGAAGGGAGTGCCTGAGTAAATGAACTGGAAGGCTGGGAGGTGGCCATCAGGGGTGGGAGGCTCAAGCTCAGTGGATCAGAGGAGGTTGATTTTGGAGGCGGCAAAGCCTAGGAATGAGCCAGAGAGAAAAACCACTGGAAATGAGACTGAAGGTCGAGAGGCTACAATTAGGTGGAGAACCCTGACGGATTGTGAATTCAGCAACAGTGATAGGGACATAGTGTGAAGAGGGAGTTAAAGTCATCGGTGAGTGTGGGTGAAAGAGCAGCTGGGAGACCCTAGCAACAATTAGAGGCAGTGAGTGATGCACTTGCAAACATGAACTTCAAAGGAGCAGAGGATTTTGAAGGATGAAGGAAGAATAATGGTCTAGAAGCAGCACTGGGGAGCAATACTCCCAGCTCCAGACCCTGAGGTATAAGAAATAAGACCAAGCCATGGTCGGTTGTTCAGTGGTTAGAGTATCCACCCACAGACTGGAGGGTCACGGGTTCGATTCCTGGCCCCAATGAGGGAGGTAATCAATCCCTCTGCCAGGCGATGGATCGCAGAGCTCCTGGACTATGAATCCTTGCAGATTCCATCCCTGGCTCCAGTCAGGGTATGTGTGGGAGGCAACCAACCGATGTATCTCTCTCATATCCCTCTCTCTCTCTCTCCCTCCTTCATTTTCTCCCTCCCTCCCTTCCTTCTACTCTCTAAAAATTTGTTGGAAAAAATATCCTCAGATGAGGATTTTTTGAAAAGATAAAAAATAAGCCTCTGTTAAGAGAGCTGACAAGGAAGTGTGTCCTTCAAGACAGCCAGATTTTTTTTAAATATATACCACATTTTAAAAAATATATCCTATTGATTTTTTACAGAGAGGAAGAGAGAGGGAGATAGAGAATTAGAAACATCAACGAGAGAGAAACATCGATCAGCTGCCTCCTGCACACTCCCTACTGCTACATACTCCACAACCAAGGCACATGCCCTTGACTGGAATCAACCTGGAACACTTCAGTCCCCAGGCCAATGCTCTATTCACTGAGCCAAACCGGTTAGAGCAGACAGCCAGATTTTAATAAGGTCTAGGAAAGGAACATTCAGAGAAC